GATTTTTGATCATCCACCGGAAACGGAGATATCAGCGTCGCCCAAAGCCATATCCGCTGAACAGCTCTGTGGCGCGGTTCGTGTAGACTCGTACTTCGCTCCCCGCGCTTTGCCCCGCCTTAGACTGTGCGTGCGCACAGCAGGATTGCAACTGCACGCGTATAATTCATTGCCATCACTGTCCACGTATGTTACATTTATATTATCTTGTTATTTCTTTATACGCCGTGTAACAGAAAGGTACAGTAAAACTTTGGGAAGAAACTATGAATCGAACTAGAATATTATTCAGAAAAGGTTAGAGCAGAGGTAAAACTTTTGAAACTAAAAAGAAATAGGTTTGCGTTCTATCGATAGCGTAATATCGACTTTGAGTATTCACAGCACTAAACACCTTGGAAATAATATAAATGTTTTCCATGCTAAACACTTTGCTAATTCATGCTATTTTATCTTTCAACCAAATAAATCCAATTGCGTCAAGACAGGCAAACGCCATTTTGCAAAAGTAATCCTTTGAAGGAATTCGACTGCGTTCTACTTTTAATAGTCAAGGCTTCCATCTGCTGCTCCAACACGTATTATTTCATAATATTCCGAATTACACTGAAAAGCTATTTTTCGGTAATTAGGAAATAAATGAGAATAACACAATTTAAACAACATGAAATGTCAGTTTGTAGGACAGCCTCAATTTTTGAATCGAAAATAAATAAATAGGCATAAAACTCATTATTATCTCGAGCTACTCCGTGCTTCGGAGGGCACGTTAAGTCGTTGGTCCCGGCTGCATTTGTAGTCGTTATTACCCTCCAATCCGCATTGGGCCAGCGTGGAGGGTCATGGCCCATCCTTCTTCCTTAACCATCCATAAGGAAGGCCTGAGCCGCTGCAGTGGGGACGTAAAAGGGCTGGTGATGATGATGATGATGATTCAAAAATATAATAATTTCATTAAAAGCTTTAACTCTAGTCTGACCTTTCGTGTTAAGGATACGTAGTGGTGGTATTTGGTTTTATACATTTAAATGTATACCTTTTAAGCTGTTCACAGTTCATAATTGTTTGAAAATCTAAATTATTAACGATGTCAAAATATATACTCATCGAATTATAACATAATGATGTATTACTCTCTGTATTTCGTTGTGCATGTTCATTTCATGTATTGGGTGAGGTTGAAAATGAGTTTTATCATTATCTGCAAAATACAATTAATATATATATATATTTGTAAATAATTGTGAATAACATGAAAATTTGCTTTAAGATCAAAAGGTAATTGCTCAATCGCAGTAATGTACATACATCAACAAGTATTATTGAAAAAATGATTGGACTGATTTTGTTTTCTTACGTAGATTTTAGTAGTTATGTATGAAAATAAAATCAAATTTCTAAATTACAAAAGGTGACATTACACAACCCGATAAATCAATTGGTTATCAAAAGGTGTAATTTTATTAATACTTTATTTATCAGTGATTTAATTTTAAAATACCTTAATCTATATCTTAGATAAAAAAGAATATAGAAAAGTATTCAACTTTATGAAAACAAAAAACAAGTTGGAAAATCACCTTTTGTTTATCTTATTAATTGTGATTATAATAAAGACATTAACTTTCACCGTGCCAGCCAGGTGGGTTCATCGTCGCTAAAATGTTCATAACTATAGATGTTTATTGTATTTTGTGTAGTCAATCAAAGTCTTTGGAGGGGTACTACGTGTCGCGGCCGCTGATGCGTAGTCATAAGGTATTGTCTGTGGTAGTGCGCGACGCCGGCGTCCACGCGCATGTAGCCGCGCCCGCCGGTGGGAAACTTACGATCGACGCCAGTATAGCGTGAGTAAATATCAACCTATCTATAGAATAAAGTTATATTTGATTATATAGTCAATAGCGACGATGACTGGTTAAAAAAAAGAAATTCTATACAGAGTAAAAAATAGAAATTCCATATAGTCGGATAATAGAAAAATGTTATAAACGTTATTTTTTGCCTCAATTTAAAGAAGAAATTGACTTTGATAATTGACGCTAAAGTTGAGGAGTGGGGACTCGCTACGTCACAGTTTTGTAAAAAATGTATAAAAGCATGACGTTATGCGACATTTCGACTCATATATCACGATAAATTATTGATTGCGAAAAAAATAAAAATAATATGTGTTTAATATTCTTCAATAACCTACCTGATGGACAAACGAACAAAAATTAGTCATCATCCCCATTCAATTTATTATATTAACTAAATATATTTTTCAGCTATCAACTTATAATTATGAATATTACTTTTTCTGTATATAGGGCCGACATTATGGATTGTGCAACAGGTACAATGGAACCTCTAATGGACGAGTTTAGGCTTCAGTTGGCTATTTCATACCCTGAAAAAGATTTACAGAGGGCTCGGTTAAGGGGATGCGCAACGGATATGAAGACTGCGCTCCATGTGCCCCGTTTGCGTACTATCCACTCGCTCGCTGCTGACTGGCAAACTGCCATCGATGAGGTTGGTTGATCTTGACCGTGTCCATTAGCTATTAAGAATATTGTAGCTAAAGGATGACGTGTTCTGTGTGCCACATGTGAGATTTAGATAATGCATTTTTTACAGAATTTGTATTATCTAAATCTCCACTTAGTCGAGAGCCAGTGATCCCGCCTGTTGATGACGACCACTTGTAGGAATAGCTAGTGCTTATTAGCCTAAACTTCGGAGAAGAACAGAAACAGGACGCGGTGACCATAAAATCAGCCCTTACGTAGACATGGTTATCATGTTGGCCGCTGCACCATCAAGTTACTATATAAGATTATCTTAATGACAGTTGTAATATCCATAATATATTCAGCGAGTTATTTTATCTTTATATTATTTTTTATATAAAAATTACAAAATGCTATTTAAACACATAATTGTATAGTAAAAAAAGCTGTATTGTTCTTAGTATAAAGAGCGTCGAAAAAAGTCAGAAGAAGTAAATCCATTCGACCATGTCCCTGCTAGACGCGAGGTGGCAGCACTAACGTCATCAGCATTGGAGGGGCGCGTGTCCATGTGGATACATAACAGTTGCGCGTGTGCACTGCGCATAGGACAAGATGGTACCGATGAACGAGTACCGCTGGGGCCCGGAGCTAGGCTTGCATATAGGTAAGAGGCGAATTGACCACTGATCGAATGGGATCGATATGGGATATAAGCTGCTCTTTATTTATCTATGAAATCAGGTTCAAAGTAAACAATTTTGCAAGAGCAATGACAAATTGAGATTAGAGTCGAAACTTGCCGACTTATTATCTCGTCAGAACTTTAAAAATCATAAAAAAGGTACGGTGCTTCAAGTCCAATGTTGCTTAATGTAGAAATTTATAGCTAATTAAACATTTTTTTATGTTATATTTTGCGTAATGTTTGCTTATTGTCTGTCAACTTCATTTCGTTTACTCTTTTAATGAAACAAAACTAGTAAATGCGTTTGTTATAGATGGAGATCACCCTCTGCTCCAAAAGGATTAAGAATAGCTTTTGCGGGTCCGGTTACTGATTGGATCTGGTCGTCAAGTAAGCACTATAAATCTAGAAAATAATTGGATTTCTATCTAATTTCTTCTTGCTTATCGTTGGCATCGAACTGAGATAGGCCAAATAATATACAAATTAAGATTATATTTTGGTAAACATCATTGTAGACTGAAGATTCAAACTTACTTATAATAAGTATTTAGAAGAATAAAGATTATTTTGACTTTCACTTTATTTTGTATTATTAATATTTAATTCCACATTCATTTATTAATTATATCAATGAAAAGTTACGATCACCATCTTTTCTACCGTCAAGATTCAAATTATATAATAATTATAGTTTTTATTTTGTGTATCGAGATACGCTTAAATAGTATTACTATTATTTAGATAAGATATTAGTGAGGATTTTGTTTTTGAATTAAATATATAAATCGCAAGGTGATGTGAGATGCCATAAAACCGTGTAGAGAAAGTTATGATAGTGGTGGAGCAAAAAACGTATGTAAATACAATCCTTGTGGTGCGCAACATGAAACATTCGAGAAATGAGCTCAAAACGAATACGTATCGAGTACAATTTTCTGTTGGAACTCTTAAGTTGCCTTTACGGAGGTAGGCAGCGTAAAGTATTGTGCTTTTAATATTAAATTTTGACGTTATGTATTTACACGACAAGTATTTGATTCGCATTCGATCAGTTACGCGATTTGGTGCGAAGAATAATCAACATTCCAAGTTTACTTAATTCCTTATACCTATTTAGATTCATCGATCTATATAGTCATAATATGTGTGATTAATTTGTGTGTTTTAAAGCTATCATTAAAGTTAGTGATATAGTTTACGTGATATGTGTAGGTGTTCCATTCATGGCGGGTACTTATCGTATACGTTTGGAGAACGGAGAAGCACTCGGTGGCAAGGGTGGGGAGACTTGTGGGGGGGTGTACGCTTACGTGAAGGTGGAGGGGGCGGGGGCAAGACGATATATGCGACTAGCCGGACGTCTGGAGCTAGCTAATATGCTACGGTACAACCTGTTGTTCAAGGTAATATTTTACTTTAATGAAATCTATTAAGCAAATGTAATCAAGTATTGACTAAATAAATTTCAAAACATTTATTCACAACAGTTATACAAAACTCTAATATGTCCACTTGATTTAAACCTTATTACGTAGAGGGTAGTGACAAATTCAACCATGGAAATTTAAAATATTGTAGTAACTTGGCGTGCTGCCTTGTGTATATATGTTAAACAATCAACGCATAAGTGACAACTTATTATTTGATATTCAAAATGGCGGATGTATGACATCATTTAAAATAGTATGATTTTTTTATTATTATAGCAATATGGTTATCAAAATGATGAGTACATTCCAAATATATAATATTCACATACATAATTAAGTGCAAAAATAAAAGAAATAAATTGGATTATGGCTTGGTTAAGAATTTCGTAACAACGAAGCCATACTATAACTTTTTTCTTTTATTTATTTTGTTATATTTTGGCAGTTCAGCCATAAAATTTTTGAAATTATTTTTTTTTCATAAAAGGTTTTATTACCAATTTACCCACCCATTAATGACGTCACGCGCTGTTATTAGTGTTTCCTTCGACGTGAGAGACAGACAAAACATATTGAATATTTTTATTGATCGAAATTATTATTATTTAACAAAAACATTAGGCGATTAATCATTAAACTTTACGAAATTGTTGCCCGATTTCCAAAATCTCCAATATAGCTGACATATAATATAAATCATTATAATTTTAAAGCAGTTTAGTATTTACTATATATATACTAAACTAAAATCTATATATATATAGCTTAGTGCACTGCAATATATGCTCGCTTCTTGCCTATGTTGTGTAACGTTTGTAGGTGCGCACGCGCTGCCACGAGGCGGCACAATGGCAGACTGTGATGTCGGGCGAGCTCGAAGCAGAGAGCGTCGGTCGCAGTGTTATGTGCGCAGCCGATGCTGAGATGGCACTCAAGTAATATATATATATATATATATTCTTCATTATAATATATAAATAATAATATATCTACTTCTAATATATATAAATATAAATGAATCCCTATTTCCCATGGTCATGTCATCACACCCGTAAACGGTTGGACCGATTTCGCTAATTCTTCTTTTGTTGTTTATTATTGTCAGGAGAAGGTTCTTATGAAAGAAAAAAAATAAGCAAATTGTGTATAAAATTTGAAAAGCTAAGAATATTTAACCACCACATAAAAACATGTCTAATCTAACCTTAATGCTCTGGATAATATAAACTGTGAATGTAACCTTATGGCGTATAACATAGCATTGACAGAAAGCGTACTGCAAATGTCATCAAGTAGGATGTAAAAAAACTATTCGAATTCAATATTTATAATTAAGAAAGGGAACGTTTGTTGGGTCAGCTAGTATATAATGTTGTATTGTTTAGTACATATTAGAAAGTAAAGATGCATTGACAATTCAAAGAAAGTTTTATTCATGGATATTCGGTTGCTTAGTGCATTGTTTTAATTTCAAATTATTTTATTTTATAAAGTCAAGCCTGTTTTTAGGACACACTTCCAGTGTGCGGGGGAAAAGTACACCCAGACTAAGAATTAAAATTAATTATTTGTAAATCACACGAAGAATTGTTTTTGTGGGTATCGAACCCATAACACTCGATTCGTGTGCAGTTTCATGGCGACAACTCAATCACACTAAATCTAACCTGTATAATGCAAAATAATCATGACAGTTCTTGCCGAAAAAAATATAAATTATTTAATATAATGTACAGTATAATTAAATAAAATACCTATGAAATATCTAATTAAAAAAAAATAAGAATACATTACACAATACAGGGATGGAAGCATCGGTTTTCTTACTAAATTGATTAAGTTAAATTAAAAAAGTACAAAATAGTAGCTGCTTATCCATTCAAAAGTGAGAGTTTTTTACTAGATATCGTTAATCGAAGACATCGAAACTGTATTCACAGAAGGTTCACAGCCAAAGACATCAAAAACCTATTTAAATCTTTATTCACATTTAATTTACAATATCAGAATTAATTAAATATTATAGTTATCTTCATCCAATTATTGTATATATTTATATTTGACAGAATAAAATTTACGACGCACGATACCGGGTGGTCTGGTGACATACCTCTAAAAGAATGCCCAAAAGAAAACGTACCTTGGCTTGTCAAAGGTAAGTAACATTACAATTTATTTGTACGTATATATATTAATGGTAATATCAAAACGTTTATATATTACTATTTAAATCATATAGTTTTTTATTTAAATTGTAAATAGATTACAACCTCTTTCAGTATTTTCTAAATTTCTATAATTCATGGGCTAGGCTAGGTAGATAATTTCTCCGTATTGTAAATTCAAAAGTACATCAGGTTGTAAAAGAATTGTCATAATCTATAAATCAATTGAACAAAGACTTATGTGACGGCGAAGGAGCTCGATAGCGCAGTGGTTCACGCGTTCGGCGATGCAAAGTTAACCAACCTTCTCCAGGTCTCATAGAATTGACGGCACATCATTGTCTCTCTTCAATCACTCCTCTGTAATCCGTAAAGCACGTTAAATCCTTTCTTTCGATGCATCTGCATTCTTATTAATTTATCAATACACACAGAGGTGGATTTGCAGCTTTGTCCGCCCTAGGACATGTAGTACTAGCCGCCCCCTTTTAGATCTCATAATATAGGCACTGTATATAGTTTTCTGACAACTTTTATTGAAATAGATAACAAAATCTGTTTGTGTTGATTATGTGATGAAGTCATATACTTTCTTTGTTTGACATGACAGTATCCCTTGTATGTACCATACTTTAAATTGTGAGTGTAATAACACATGAGGATAATTCGTAATGTATTTTTATTTAACAATTTTTGGAAAACTCATTGCCGATAATTAAAATTCATATGAAGAAATATAAAAATTCATTAAACTGAATACCGACACTTACAAGTTTTAATTAAAAACAAATAATTAGAAGATAAATCAGACGAAAAGAGTGTGTTTTGGTAAAGAAGGATGACGTTCAAATTATTAATACGTGGTATTTCACCATTCAGCTTTTGGCACACAATATTTAATTTAATGCCATTATTGGCCGACCCCAACATGGCCGCCCTAGCTTTAGGCCTACTGTGGCTTTATGGTAAATCCGCCACTGTCTAGGCCGGAGTGGTGAATTTTAACCTATTGGAAAAGTGTGCAGCATTGGGTACATTAACAGGCTGAGAATCATGATGATAAAATACAAATTGGTTAGTGCCGAGTGAAGGCGATCTGCCGTACAACTCTGTGTGGTGTCGCGTGGTGCGCGCTCGCAGCGACGGCCGCATACTCGCCGCCATCTGGCCGCTGTACGTGCTGTACTCTCACGTGCCGCATGACACTGACGTGAGTAATATATTTACATTTTTATATATGAACATATGTTAACCATAATTTTAGGGTTATATATTATTTCGCCATGTCCGTCTGTCCGTCCGACCGCGCTTTAGCTCAAAAACTAACGAGAAAGTTGTAAATTGGCATCGGCATGATTGACACGTTAATTACGCCGACAAATTTCGAATAGTATTTTTTTCGAATTCCCCATAGTTTGGGATAGATCTTTCAAAAACGTTGGAAGTGTGGGAAGGCCGTTTTTCGATATAATAAGCCGTTTGTGACTTATTGATTTAAGCTTTAAAGAGTTAATTTTCGTTAGAGTCAAGTGTCCTCCCCGTCTACCAACTTAACGATTTTTGGTTGAAATTTAAACGAAATTGCAGTAGTTCCTATATATAACGAAGTTAAAAGGAAAAACTATGATAGTTTTCCTTTTAACTTAAGTTGTCTTTAACTTAACAAGTTTACGAGTAATAGTCGACAAATTGTTTTTAACTTCAATATATCAAACAACTCCATAAAAAACAAAACACGTCATTTTTGTTACTTTTTTAATGGTAAGGAACACTCCCTGCGCGACCCCGTCTCGCATTTGGCCTTTTTGTAGGTAACTATCCAATCTTACTTTTGTTAGAATTAAATTTCTTTTTAGCTTAACTGCTAACACTAGGTATTATATTACAATAGTTAATAGATTTCATGTCAATTATATGTTTTTATCACTTTTATAAAGGTGATGATAGAAACCGAAGCAACTATGCCCGATGGAGAAAATTCGGTACCAGAATGTTCTCCGCCACTAATCCAAACTGCGCCGGGGCGCGGGACTAGCACTCACCTGGTAGCTCCAGGAACCACAGCCGCTAGACATAATCTATCTTTTCAGTACAGGTAACCACATGAAGATTTATAATAAATTATTATATTAATAGAGATCAATCAGAGAGAGTGAAAGATTGATTTTTTATAGAAATATTTTATCTGTTATTGCAATTACTTTTATTTTTGTGAACAAGTTCAAAATTTTTAATATGTTTTTGGTCATTTTGGTGAACGGAAAAATCTTTTTGCTGAAGTTCTCATCCAAATGTGTTAATTTGGATTTGGACTGGACTTTGTGACTTAGCTAAAATGATAATAAATATAGTCTTGTCAGATGGAGATTGTTCAAAATGACGCTAACAATAATATATTTCATAACCAAATAGTATTTCATAACTAAAGTATCGTTTAGTACACACTAATAGTAGAAAAAAATTATATTGAAATCTATAGTTAAGAGGTTATTGGCACTGTGTAAATATCAATACAAGATTAGTCGTCATGTTTATGAAATAGAATAGTTATTTAATTTAAATCGTTTTCGGGCTAAGAGTACAGAAAGAGACAATTCTGATAGTGTTAACGTAATAATGACATTTCAATGGCGGCTTGCCATTTAATTATTTATCCAGGTGCCTGATATACTACTATCGTATTTTGAAAAACTACGATGACAGATATTTTTGTTGCTCGCTGATCTAGTAACAAGAGCCATATACACGCCATAATTACGTTAATACAAGCAGAATTTCAAATCGCAGTCAGACAAGTCAAAAATATAACATACATAAATGTAAGGAATATGTAAGTGCGTTATATTACTTGGTGGCCCTTCAGTATGTTTGTATCACAGGAATATAGATTGTCCTGTGACCCGTGACGCAGTACCGTTGCACTATGGCGTCACTGACACGTCCGTGTTTGACAAACGTGCACCAGTACATAACCTAGAGGACGTTGTACAAGATATACTCACCTGGTAAGTAAAGAAGATTGGCGAAATCAGACTCCATAATTTCCAAAACCGTACATAAATGGCAATATAAAAAAATAAAATAAAATGAGATTAGCAGCTTTTATTTCTACAAAATGACGATTATTAATGTAGGGAAAACCAAATAAATAATGCTTGTTCTAATAATTACTTTTATAACAAAACGTCTTTAATGATAGTACAAAAACAAAACGTTTGCAGAAGTACCTTAATGATTCAACTATAGTTTGGCATTATTTCATGAATTTAATAGTGCTTAATAATTAAAATCACTTCTAACTAGATTGTAGAGACTAGAAACCATTGCTTTTAAATAAAATGGACAATGTATATAATAATAATGGGTTACGGTTTTGTGTTCGATTTTGAAAAAACGACCACAATGAAAATGTTAGAATCGATTCTTGATAAACTTGGAAATCAAAATATTAGTATTCGATTATAGTCATCCTGAGATTTATCTTTCTTTAAATACCTCATGTGCGTCTTGTCAATCGCGCCCTCCCCTGTCTCACCGCCCGCATACCTCAGGCGGTGACTAGCACTTTCGCGCACACCATAGATTCAATAAAATATTATAAGTTGTCATTTACTTTTAATACAAGTTTTTAAGTAATGAAATGCTGCGTCCAGACAGAGCGACTGAACATCCAATGAACGTCAAATTCATATTCAATTAACAAACCTTATAGTTATTTGATATATAGTTTCGTATACGGACCAACGAAGCAATTTATCGATGGTTGATAAATATGAATCGGTGGTCTTTAAAGACTTAGGTTATAAGGTTTGATATTGAATATACGTTTGACGCAACGTTCGTTGGCCATTTATTCTCTCAGTCTGTACATGCACGCATGTTAAATGTTTATTCACTCTATCTCAAAAAAAAAACAACATTACGTGCCATACTTTTGAATAATAAAATAAATCCTTTTATGAGATGTTGGATATTGCGTAAGAAATAAATTCATAGGTAGAATAAACAATTTAAGTGTGACACCGGGAATCACACTAGAAATGAAATGAATGACAGTGATACAACCATTTTAAGAACATCATTACTAGTTCTCCAATTAATTCGACTGGAAAGGTTTATATATAGATTATTTTGGTCTAAATTTGATTTATCTATTTATAATTAATTAATTTCAGGTTCTTTTATTTTGAAATAAACGTGTAGATCTTGTTACATTTGTGTTGATTAAAGTTGTAATTATTGAAATGAGTTATCTAGACGCCATTTTTATTAATGACAATCTTTTTTATTCCAACTTTTAAGGGAAAAAATGATTAGCATTATTGTATGTTAGTCTAGCTTATGCCTTCAATTGTACTTTTATTTCATTCATGAATGGGACTTTAAAAATTCAGATCTGGATCTATATAGGAGTTTACCATTCTTCTTTAACAATTTCATCGTCTTAAGCTATTAAGATTCACTTTAGAACACTACATAGCAAAGCTAAAACATGTTGAGCTACTTAATAATAGTGATTTTAGATAAAATCAGATACACTGCGCAGATTTCAAAATATGTAACTGAAGTGTCTGAAATAACTAAGGTTCTACAACACCTAGAACCAATTTCATTAAACGCTGTTTTTTAAATAAATAATGTTTTGTTGTATTATATGGAATTACATAATAAGTAATTTTCGATGATTAAAATTAACCGTTTTAAGAAGTTTATTTAAATATTATCTTTATATTCTTCGTTTGCAGGTTGGAACGATCAGGTCGTCACGCGAAGAGCTCTTGGCCTTACTCCCTGGTTGCTAAACATTGGCCTGGGTCTTGGCAACCGGCACTATTGCAACCTCGGTGCGATGTCAATGTAAGTGTCGATCTCTAGTCAGGGTTTCTTCCATATTGATGATTTTATGATCTTATTATATCAGTATGCAATTTTATTACACACATGCGTGAGTGTCTACTAATTAACATGACACCTAAGAGCCTATCCTATTTGTCCCAAAATGAAAATATAGAAAATTTCGAATCTTTCTTAAAATTTTGTCAAAATCTAATTCCATGTAGATTATTTATGCATCAGAGGCAATGCAAGGTTCTACCTGGTAATACCTCTGCTGCATTGCATCAAAAGCTCCCAAAAATGCGTTTCCTCGAAGTTGTATTAGCATTTCAAAAAAAGACGAAATTTCATTTTCGGAAAAATAACTGTCACCACGCAGTCACTTGCGAATGATAAACAACGGCGAAACTATGAGTATGATATACAGGGTTGTCTCCTTTTCAGAAACAATATTCTTGATATTCGGATATTCAATAGAAACTGGGTCAGGTGGCAACCCTGATGCAAAACATGTGCGTTTGTGTAACGACGCAGCTATTTCATTGAGTTAATAATAGAGTGAGACAAAGCACATGCGAAACATTTCCATACAAATAACATAATTTCGTAAATGTTACGCATTCGCTTGCTATTGCGTCGGGTGTACTAACGACCTTAGTATCTTGTTCTGGTAAGGTGCGATACGAGGCGGTCCGCGCGGGCGGCGGGTGCAGCTTAGAGTTGCGTTTGTCGCCCACCGCGTTATTATGTAACGCGGCACCCGTCGCTCTCACGCTACGAGCACACGACGCCACGCCTCTCTGCAAACTGGAGTCGGGGACCGCCATCTGTCCGCCATCACTTGTACTACAGGTGGGATATGACGCGTTATGAAATCAAAATCATATAATCAACTTAGCTGTTACAAACACTTTTGTAAGACAAAACTTTATGTATCGAATTTTTGAAATTTTCTAATATTTCACGTCAAAAAGTGAAGCCGCGGAGAATTTTGTAGAAGATTCTGGGGAAGAGGCGACGGCCATTGCAATACTGTACTTACAATTAAAAAATAGAACTGACTTCAAACTTCAAGAAAATGCTATTAAAGTTGTGCGGAGGTTTTCTATAGTAATAACCTACAGAAAACCTCCGCACGCGAATCAAATGATAGGCGACTTCACTTTTTTCACATTTTTAGAATTTGAACTTGGTTCTATTTTATTTCATGTTTTTTAGTGATATTGATATTTGTTATATAAATAGGTAACACTTAAAATACTTTTCTGAAAATCGCGTCAAAACGGTGAACCTCTTTATTGAAGTCGGTTAAAAATGCATCTGCTCGTTAGTATCGCGACAAACGCGCGTTTATAGCACGTATCTATTGCGTTGCCTACGTGTTTGTAGCAATACAAGCGCAAGCATCGTGTGCAACGCGTCGACGGCCTTGCATTTGCTGGGCTTCCTAATTGCGTTCAACGCGCGTTAAATATACGTCGAGTGCAAACGCTCTCATGTCAGGTATAGGGTTAAATTTTTGTAGCTAACATAATATAAAAAACCATAAACGTTAAATAAAACAAAGGTTAGTCGCACGGGTGAACTAATTGTTTGTGCGTTCACATAATTGTTGCGTCGTTGACATAATTTAATCCGCAACTTATTATTTATTTTCATAGATATATAACAATATATTGCACCGTATGTATTGCCACAAAGTATATATTTTCGTTTGTATTAGAAACCATTCTTCATATCCATGGAGTTGGTACGCGATACATTCGTGAGCGGCCAGCTGGTGTTGAGTAATGTGGAGCCGGGACGTTACGGCACCCCTCCACCTGGACACTTGGCCCCTAATCATCCCATGTTTTTCGCTATACATTGCAATAACAAGGTTGGTATACTCAGCGCTATCTACTCACTAATACATAAATATATTTTTTTTAATGTATTAGTGAGTAGATAGCATTGCATTGTATTAGTACAGGTACAAGTAACTATACAAACAATAAATTTAAAAGCAAACAATATGATTTTACTCTACTGTGTATTGTTAAAGTCGCAAGAAAAAATTTCAAATATCTTAAACTATGATGCAATTAGAAATATAATTATAAAACATATTGTGAAGTCACAATCTAGTACGCCTTAAACATTGTACCTTTGTTGTAGATTAAGATATATAATGTATTTGCAAATTGCCTGCCACGTCATTTTATACAAATAGCTAGATTTCTCATTTTCATTGCTGTTATTGTCATTAGTATTAAAAGGTTAAAAAATCTGGCCTGTTTGTAATACTGTTGATAATACACTTACCTAGTGAAGGGTTCCAATATCTGCTATATATAACATTTTTAAATTTTTGACAAACCAAAGCCACATGTATATACTTTTAACAAACTTTCAACTTATTGTAAAGAAAACAAAAACAAAGTAAACAACGTAAACAGAAACAAAGTTGTTACTGCAAATGAATTATGTGATTTTTTATTAACAATATTGATTATTTCAAGGTGGCCCTACTGACTATGTATTACGAAATAATACACGAGATAAACGTATTGGGAATTAGTTCCACATATGAATTCATTAACATGCTGGATGATGATGTAGTGGTATGTATTATTTATTTATGATAGTAACATTATACTGTATTTAATAAATGGGTCTAATTAGTGAGAGTGTATTTTAGTTACTATAAAAGTAATATGTTCTGTTTAACTACTATAGATATCTGCAGTGGCTGTGCCTAAAGATTTGGATGGTAATTTACCGTTGCAGCCGAAAATGTTCAAAGTGATCGAACCTAGTACGGAAAAGAGGTTTGTTTTCATTATTAAACATTAAAAATTTGCTTGGAATTTTTTTTAGTAACGATAATAGACTAAAAACATGACGACAGATATTTTGTTTCTGTCTTTCTGTATTTTACATGTAAATGTAAAACGATATATATAAAGCACACATATACACTCTGTCACGTAGACTCCGTTATTTGGGTATTACTGAAATTACACTTCCTATTCTTATATTAGTCTGCGAATACTGTTTTAATAATGTTTCATTTTTCTTTTGTGTCATTATTAAGTTTTCTCTAAAAGTTATGTCAAAGGAACCATCTATTCAATTTTCCTTGTCTATAAAGGGGCCCTAATGACCTGTGTTTACAGGTTTCTTACGAAATCAGGCACTAGTCTCCTCGTGACAGGACTTTATATTATAGTTTTATTTCCTACTTATTTGAATAAGGATCCAGTTTTGTGGTGAGAAATAAATGCTTATATTTACTGTTTTTATAAATTTTTAAATAGTTTTTATTGTTTGCTCATACAACATATTTTTTTCTTCTACAATTATATATTGTAGAAGAGAGAAATATAAAATGCAGCAAGAAAATTTTATATTATTATATTTAAAATATATATATTCTGAAGCATTTACCCACTTCGCAATGTGCCGCCGCGGCTCAACCAGGTGTTTCAGCACATGTGCATTGAGTACATTGGGTCATTCGAATATTACAAAACTTTCATATTTCTGACACGAACTCTTGTATTCGTACTATAAACGTCATATGTTGTATCGTCATATAATATTCGTTGCCAGTGTTAACGGCGTGCCTCTCTGTCGTTTCTGGCTGGGCGCACGGTGGCGGAGTGGCGGTGATCCCTCCGAGCTCGCTCCGTACTTGTGCCTGGCACTGTCCGTAACACCTGGACATGACATGTCCGCTGCCGTGCCCGTCCGGCTCGGACAACCGCCCCTGCGTCGCGCTCTCGCTCTCATCGATGCTAACAACCAATCGGTATGTCTTTTTATTTTATAGATATATATATATATAATATATATCTCTTAAATATAATATATATCTATAAGTTAAAATATAAAAATAAATTTATTTTTCATAATTTCCCGCGAAAATGCCTCTTCTGCCATGGCGTCGCTATGACGTCACGGCACTCTGAAACGAATTTCATAAAGTTGAATTCTCCAAGTTCTGATGTGAGTAAGAGTGGCATGATGTCACGCTCTGTTTGCGGTAACATGACAACGAGTATAAAATATTTGTATAATTAAGCAATATTATAAATATAATAAGCATAAAAGTAAGATTATCGGTAATAATATAGAAAATCTTCCAGAAAAAAAATGTTGTTTTTTTATTATTTTCGTTTACTGTCTACATCCATATTATACACAAAAAAATCGTAACCGGAATATTCGTTTTTTGCTTAAATCTCTGGATTATTCAATCACATTCGTTGTGTTTTCTTTTTCTTGAAAAATGTTGTATAACACAATAAAGAAATTATAGATGAAATCATAAAGTACGTTTATTTTATGACAATATTTGAAAATGAAATACATGCTTTATAGAGTGTGTGCTTTTCGTACACAAATGAGAATGAGTAATGATAATGAAAAGAAATAAATTATAGTATTATTTATTATAGTGGTCTAACTAAATGTTAATTTGTAATAAATTATAATTTTAATTAAGGCCTCTTAAGTTTACTTAAATTTAGATTCTGATACTTACATAGAGATTCTGATTTTTAGTCTTAAAATCGTACAATTATCTTAAAATTAAAGACGTGATTTTTTTTGTTTGTGTGTCACGTGACTTGAAACACGACCCGCAATTGTGTGATGCCACTGTGGCGTCAGCTGTTAGATTAGTCATAAAGCTATGCCTATTAATTATAAATCGAATTCAAAGATGGCGTTGTTCTTAGTTCATTTATATCTTTTTATTTCGTAATAGAACTGTAGATGGCATTGTTCTGGTTTAATTAATATCTTTTAATCTTCTAGTCTATGCATCTGTTTTGTGCATAGAGTTAAGGTTTTCATAACATAATACATTGGCGTTATAATTATGACGGACAACGTTATCGTGGTTACAAGTTTAAATTTTAGTTTAAAAATAAACAATAATTAAATAAAACGTGTTTATTTACCCGGAATACTAGTTTTATGGCTTCTTTAGAGTAAAATAAAGAGTTACAAGTATTATTTCAAACAGAGTAGAATATCTTATTGTTTAGGTACACAAACTACATTAATGTCTTGATTTCAATCAAAAGTCATTATTACATTTAAAATAAAGTTGGTAAAAATAATAGAACTTATACTCGTTGTCAGGGGTGCTAATGGTAATATTGGGTTGCGTTGCGAAAACTTGAGGGATGCGTTTGGTAATGAAGAATCAGAAGTTCATCGTTTTGTTCAGAAATGTTAAGTACTATCGTATTGTTCAGATACCAGTAGTGGTGACGCAGTTGAAGCATGAGGGCCGGTGGCTGGTGACAGTCTCTAGGGATCCATGTCCACAGTTTCTGGTGCACAATCACACAAGCGAACCACTTGTATTAGCCCAACCCGTACTAGAGGGCGAAGAACCTTCATCCACCAAATTTCCGGTGAGCATCTTACTTTACTATATTATAACGGCGAAAGTTTGTAGGTATGGATCTTTGATTATCTTCATACAAAATTTATACAATTCTAAACCTTAATTTACGTAAAGGCTACTTTTTATCAAAATCGTTCTTTATAGAAAAAAGCACCGTCTGTTGTGTTCTTTCTTGATTTCTTTTGTAATTTTGTTGGAGGCAAGGAAATATTTTTTTCATGTGCAGCTTAGTGAATGCGAGGGTATACGATGGTGGTTGGTAGTCGGAGCGGGGGCAGTGATGCATTACTCAAGCCCCGCCCACAACGAGCGCTATCCCCCGCCCTCACCTCAGCCCCCTCAAGTGCAATTTCTCACTTTCGCCCGAGCGCGTGACGGTGAGTATACGTCTTACTTCGTCAGTTTATCCTACCTATTAAGTTGATTAAAAAACCTTAATGTTATCGACAACTCTGTGGACTATAATAAAAAGATAAAATATTTGTAAAATTTTGACTTACATACAGAAACAACACACAAAGACAATATCTCAAGGAAGTACATAATATGGGGTATTTACAGTTACATTACAGTAAATAATAAAAGTGGATGAAAACTTGTCGGCAACAATAACATTTACTCCTTCGATAAAGTAAGATTTATTCATTATGACACAAAAGTTAATATAACATCTGTGTCAAAAAGGAATTAAGATCTATAGTGCTATTAAGACTCTCATATGACAAAAATGTTAACGGTAATTAAAAAATGGTTTAAACACAGGAGGTCTCTTGATCTGATTATATGCCTCATTTTCTGATTAATATTAATCCTGTCGGTTAACTCCAGTTTCAACAACACCGGATTTTTACTGGTGTGCGCCGGTAGCAGTAACTGAGGGTGAACAACTCGTTCAGTTATACGGCGGACGAACTGTGAAACTGCGCGTGCACACCCATACGCACTCCACGCTATTGCATCTGAGGGACGTTGATGAGGTACAGCTGATTGTTAAGCTATTTTGCAGTAAAGATAGCACTTTACTTAACTATTCACAAAAAGCTACTATTCTTATTATTTGTTAGTGTATTTGTCATACATGACGAGTAAATGCCATGGTTAGTCAGTATACGTGACTGTACGTAGTACATTGGCTGGTTTCATTTACCACATAGGACCAACTAAAACATGTGTTCGTTTTTATTGATCCTATATGGTGAATAAAACCAAACAATGACAAGCTAATTATTTAAATTTGCATATTAAAACACAAATAAATTTTTAATAGCCATAATTACTGAAATATTACCACTCTAAAGTTGCAAACATCAATACTTGTAACGAAAATTTGAATTATTAAAAGAGTTTGAATTTTAAAATCGTTTTTATCGAATTCATTTGTCATTTTTTTTATTATTGTTGTCGTAACAATTTAACTTAGTTTAAAAAATATATTTTTCTAAGTCTGGTTCATCTTGTTGAAGAATATTTTTTTTCCTTAAATTTTATTTAATACATTGACCTCAAAATCGGTTAACTCTGTTAGAAATGAATCAAATAATATCAAGATGTTGTATATATTTTTTATTATCGCCACATTACTAAAAATTTCAAATTCCCAACGTCACCTTACTCATGTTATGTCAAAAAGACTATAATACGTTTTATTTTACAGCTTATAATTAATTAATATGATTCTTTATTAATGTACATATTCTGTCATAGTCGGAATTAATATATCTATACTCCATTCGCTATAACATTAGAAAAAAGAGGGTCATAGAAGCAGCAGTGCAGAACATTTTATTTTCAAGATAAATTTAAAAAATATATATTAGTTTTGTTGAAACTTTGAACGTTAGGTACTCTGAAAGAGCTGGGTAATTTTCCATTTTTTTTATGATACCTCGGCGTTGAGATGAGGCCAGCATTTTATAAATTTATTTTTTAGTCCCAAGCGAACATGGAACTAAAACTGCAACTATCTGTGTGTTTTGATAAATTCTAATTGTAAGTGTAATTAGTTAGACTATTGATGAAGATAATGGAAAAACTCCCTGAAATGTCAAAGTTTGAGGGTAGGTATGGGGGCTTAAAGTGTAATTTTTCGTCCATATTTACTAAAACTTAACAACAAAAACGAAACAAAAATAAAACAATAACATCACGGAAATCTTAAAAGTAAAATAATCTCTTAAAAATATCAATAATCATGTTACTTTTAAGTAACATGATTAAAGATATTTTGTCACAAAGTATACCATAAAAAAAAACCTTATTTAACTTCTGTCTAATGCTATAACGAATGGAGTATAGAATGCGTAAATGAAGATTACTTAAGCTATTTACATATAAAAAGAAACAACTGAAACTGTTATTTTTCCTTTTTAGACTGACATATCAGCGAGCGATATCAGAAACCGTCTGCTAAAACCCCACCTTGCTAAAGAATCCACTGTAAGTATTTGATACGTTTTATCTGTCTTAAAAGTGTTTAAAAGTTGTATTTATTTTTACTCGTCATTTCTTTTATTTATCCAAATATATTGTGAATGTTATATTAATTTGTAATGTAAATTTAACTGGCTTTGCTGTAAACTTTGTTTTATTTTTCAGAAAAATACCAGTATTCAATTATTGGAACGAGAAAGGGCTAATTCACGCTGTAAGAGTAATTTACATTTTATTTAATAAATTTACTTGGAGTACCATTATACCGGAATCATGATTGACTACATAGCATATCGATAAAAATCCTGTGATATGAGTATCGGTGTCACCAAACTATATTGTATAAAGCACATTATTACTTGTTATCATATACAACGTGCAACATACTAAACGCACACCATGAATGTAGTTTGTTTAAAATCATATACTGATTCGATTTAAAATAGAATAGCTTAATCGTTTATTGACACCTATATAGTTACAATAATGTAATAAGGCTTTTTAAATCGCTCTATATTCTTAACTTATAATAAAATACAACATAGAAAAAAAAAACAAAGAAAAATTAGCATTCTTTTTATGTTCCTTGACTCTAAAATGGTCTTAAACGCTATAATGCACAAGTTATTAAACAAGGAGAAAAATAATATAGCATAAAATAAACATGACATATGTGACAAACATGACAATGGCAGTGGGTAATTATTTTATCGCAATTTAAGTTTATCGAAAAAGTTTCACTTGCGATGATTCTATGTTATATTAAAAATGCTTAAGGGTTAGACACAACGTGGTGATACTGTGATCGCCATGTGATATGTGATCGCAAGATATGTGATATGTGGTTTTGCGCTGTACATTTGGAGTTGCAGGCTAAGCCGTAATTTTTACGTCATTGTGTGGATTTTTAAGATGTCTACACTGTTACCCAGCAATTAGTATAGCTGTGTCTATACATAAACAATGTTTTAATACTGCCATGAAATCTATTTAGCTGCTTTAAAATTGTTAAGTCATTTGTTTTTTTTTTTGTACATTCAATGATTTGCTCTATGCATCTCTTACCCCTGGTTTCAATAACCAAAAAACAATCCATAGCATTTCCCACCGATGGTAGCAAAAAAGTGTTTCAATAACATACCATTGGTAGGTAAAGCTACCGACGGTGTGCTACTAACGGATTGATCTGATACTGATAACAGTTCGTAGGCAAAATGTATGAAAATGGCGCAAAAATGTGTTTCAATAAAAAAAATCTATCAGTCGGTAGAGCTGTCAAACTTACTATCCGTAGCTTATCTGTCTCAAATTTGCCTAACGGCCATTTTCCGTCGGTTATCGTAAAAATATTTATAAATGACACGTTTTTCCTTGTTAATTAATAGAAAAATAACAGTATTTCATTTAAAAAAATAATATTGTAGAAGAGCTTAATGTGTTTTGTGGTTCCAATTAGAAGAATTCAGTACTAACATTTTAATGTGGGGATGCAGTTCAATTCTGGTTGCAGTTTAGCAACTTTTTTCGTTATATATGTGTTACATTTATATGTATTGTAAAGTTCATAGATTTATATTCTTTCAATATGCAATTGTGCATTTATTAACTATCTACATGACAAATGACAAACGACGACGAAATTATTTGTAGTGACAGATCCAAATATACTATAAAATCGCTCGTTTTGCTCCCACAGTATTATTCAAAACCATTACTATGGAGTCCGTGGAGCCATTTAAAGCTGAAACGGAGCTGCTACACACCGGCGGTAACAGATCGACGTCTGACGCAAATATACCTATTGTCATTGAATCCGAGTCCACCGAAAATATACAATCTAAATACCAACAAAAGCCCAAACAAAGTCCGGATGATATTAAATCAGAAACGGCTAACACAATAACAGTTGCCGAAGAAGAATCAGGATCTCTCGATAGACAGACAAAGACCACAGACATTAGATCGGAGACACCTGACAAATCAGACACGGAACAAGTGACTGACGACAATTTGACAATCATCAAGGATCCTTCGTTGTCATGTTTCCGATCATCTGTCAAAATCGATGATAATCTCCGTAAGTGTATGAAATTATACTATGTGCGAAACGAAAATTTTATAAAATTAATGAGAATCCATAAAATTCTCAAATTTTGTGATCCTTTTTTTAATGAAATTTATTAAAATGGGATGTATTACGGATAAAAATTTCACAGTTTACAATCTTCTAAGATATATTATAATGTAGCGGTCTTAATTTTTCTTTTTTGGTGTCATATACAAATTAATGTATTTACCGGAAGAATTGTCCTCTTTATTGCCTTGGCTTGGATCAATGCACCGTGTCATCTTTTTTCTTAATTTTTATCTGTCAATTATATTAACACTTCGATCACTTCCCTCACATTATTTTTTCAATCAAATAAAAAATAATAAAAAAGCACCAATTGTTTTTATGTTGACAGTTGATTTCTTATGCTTATTATTTTTTGTAAATGGATTTATTTTGATTTCTTTTAAATAAGCTATTTTTATTTTCTTATTTTTTTTTAGATGTAAATGAATCACAAATAAATATTCATAAAGATAATTTAGAGATTGATGCATCACACGTTTTGCAAGATGGAACATCAAGTAAGTCTTCATGTTGTCGTATGCTATAATACAAACATACCAAGTTACTACACAATAATAGTTACAAAAGAAGGAAATAAAAGGAATAATAAAAACGTTTACAATGTCTGCTAACGGATGTTAAAGATGACGTAGTCATTACACTTATATGAAGTTAAAATTATTTATAAATGAATTTCTTAGAATATCAGTTTATAATAGTAATGCGTTACTACTTTGATTGCGGAAAATATTTTAAACTTAAGGTCTTGATAAAAATCTTGTCAAGAATTATGAAATTCACTTGAATAGGAAACCATTTTAACAGTTTTCTAGTTCTATTTTTTAACGCTTTTATTATTTTTTATTTTATTTATTTACATTATTTTGTTTTGTATTTTTTTTGTTGTCGTCTGATATGATGTATTTGTAATCCTTAAATGGGGCATAGCTTTTTTTCCTATATTTATTGATTGTATTATTCAAGAAATAATATTGCAGGCAGTAGTGGGGCGTGGTCTTCGTGTGAGCGGATGCGGTTTGTAGTGTCGTCTTTGGTGTTGGAACTCGCGGGCGGAGCGGATGAACCGCCGCTATTGGCGTTACATCTGGACCGTGTCGCTCTATTAATTCACCAAGACGATAAGGTATAGTATACTACACAACTTTATTGTAATTAATAAAAATAAGATTTGTTTTGAATGTAGGCGATTATAAATGTATTTGAAAAGCTCACAATAATATGTATAAATATGAGGTTAAAAATTAGAACATTAGCGCCAGCTGTTCAAAGTAAAAATTTATGAAATAATGAATTTCACCTTAATCACTATGTTGCAAGCGGTTGAAGTTACGAAGACAGACTATATGACGTGGAATAAATCGTTTATTTTTAAATGTGACAATTTATTTAATTTCATTTAGGGCACAAACACGACGTTATCGATAGCGGGCGTTCAAATCGACAATTTGCAATATTCAAGCGGACAGTACGATTTCGCCGTGGTGGCGTCCACGGCTAACGAACGCACGTGTGATGACCGATGGCCATTCCTATGGGGCATGCTGATCGATATAGATGCGTTCCGAATGCGACACGAAAACGCTCGTGTGCTGCTGAAATTACGCCGCGACAATTGGTCTATACCCTCTGGTACATTTAGTGGTGAGTTATTATGTTAAAATAAATTATCACGCTCTATCCAGTGTGGGTTTCAGTTTATATTACTCATTTCACACCTCCATAGTAGATTGCCATTTCCGGAGTCCCAGATTCGATTCCCGGTCGAGTCAATGGTTGAATAAATGAATAATTTTGTGTTGTGGTACTTTCGTTGTCTCAGATACTCCAGAATAAGAGGGCGTAAGCTACTCTTCATGGAATCTGAGTGATATATGTGAAGTTGTCTAATATTTATTTATTTATATCTTGTACTTCCATCCACTGCTTTCCTAAGACCATTTTAATATCTACTATATATACCTAAATAAGTTCAATAAGTTTCATTCTTGTTAATTTCAAAGTATGTATGTGTAAATGGTATGTCGTTGTATTCAAAGAGGTTAATTAAATGAAATTAATTGAATAAACATGTAAATTATATTAATTGTTACATTGCAGTAGATGTAATAATTATGCAGCTTAAACAGTCTTTTGAAAAGAAAAATGATCGACGACCTCATTGTGAGCCTTTTTTTAGATGATATCTATACAAACAGCAGAACATAGACTTGTCACAAAAGTGATTTTCTTTTGATTAAATAATGCTCACATTTTCTTATTTTTTAATATGTTAATAACACGTTCCTATTTATAATATACCCTACTTACACAGATGGTGATAACAGATCGTTGTCAATTATCTACATTTTGAAAAAATACACTGATTGCAAACACCCTGTTTATTATTATAATACCAGAAATAACCGAAGTGGAATTATCAATGGGCCCGCTCGCGTTGTACGTGGAGGACGCGTACGTGAGTGCTCTAGTGGAGTTGATACGACTAGCTTTGCCGGCGGCGTCGCACGACGAACAGGCGGCTTTATTCAACGAGATACGTACGCTACAAAGTCCATTACGACTGCGTGCACTGCTGATACATCCTTTGGATTTAACTCTCACTCTTCACACTGCAGTAAGTACTACTCGTACACATTTACATGAAAGCCTATTACATTTGTCCGAACAAGAATATTCGTCTATTTTTAAATGTTAATACGGCTCCAAAGACATTTGTCGATAATTTATAATGGAATAGAAGTAGAACCAGATACTACAGCGTACAGATCATCTTCACGTACGTAGGTATACGTATATGATATTGACAAAAATATAAGAAAGATTCGAAATTTCCCGAAGTTCGTGAGAAATAGAATTGACCCTCATGTATCATGTAAATTCCTCGAGTTATATTTTCTATTATAATAAATAGAATAATAGATTGATAGAAATATAGTGTCATTGTCCGATTAGTTTTATTGCAATAGTGGTAGCTTTAAATATCGATAATCACACTCGCACGCAACAAAATAATCACACTCTCGATAGATCTATAAAGATAAATTGATAGATGGCATCAATAGTATTTATTTAAACTGACCGTGATCAAATCGAGGGTGTACTAAAGAAAAGTCATAAGTACCCTAAACCGATATCCTTCAATAAAAAAGTTGTGAGATATTAGGATCGCGTTAACTAGAAACATTGTAGTCTCTCGTCTTATCCGACTCAGAAATGCCGTGAAATTATGTTTATATAAATTGAGTTTTTATTTACAATACCAACACTGATGAATGAAATAATAATGAAACTTTATATAGCACAAATTGTGTAGATGAAAGTACAACACATTTTTATTTTGAAATCTATAATAATCATGTATTTTACTATTTATAAATAAATAATTAATTATCAATACTAATAATAAATAAATGTTGACACAACCGATATTATAAATAAGACATTGTTAGTTTGTCTGATTATTACTATCGATAGACCATTGAAACACCACTTGATAGTGTTATATGGGTAACGGTAATTATGAATGTGTGTGTCCAGGTGCGAATGTACATAGCACTGGATCAGAGTCCTCTGCAGCTTGGCGCGTTCCAGCTGAAGGACGCCGTCACATCCGTGGAGCAACTCACACACGCCCTCACTGTCCACTACCTATCCGCCGCCATATTAGGTGCAGGTAAGTTACGCTACGTTTATTAATTGTAACGTGAATTTTTAATTAAAACCTTATAGTAGCATCTGATTAAACTATCCTCGTTTTACATCGTTGACCATAAAATATTTGTTAATTTTTCATTAAAAATTGACGAACCGCGTGAAAGATTATTTTATATTTGTAGTATATATACGGAAAATATTTTGTATTCTGCTTTGTATTATAAATAGAAAAAAAGTTTTGTGTAGGTAATAATTGGTAATAACAATTGTTTTTTTTTATAACTAACATATTTTTATGCTAACTGTAAGTGAACTTTAATTTATTTTTAACATGAACATTTTTATGTATTTCCGAAAACTACCCCCTATAAATAAAGTTAGAACATTAATGTACCTTTTTATAATATTGTATTATTACCTTTTTATAGTATTATAAACTATGATATGGGTTTCTACTCAGGGTGGGTAGTAGGCGGGTTAGAGCTGCTAGGCGCCCCTGGTGCACTAGCCGCCCGCGTAGGAGGTGCGGGGGGTGGGGTTCGAGGTGTGGCCGTGGCCGCTGCCGCCGCGCTTGTTCGATCGTTGGCCGCATGCGCCGGTTCGTTGGCCAGGAACTTAGACTTGCTCGCCGGTGACGAGGAGCATGCCCGTCGAGCAGCAGCCGCTCGACGACGTCACCCGCAGAGTCTAGCCGCTGGTATACTGGCTGGCGTTACCAACTTTGCAATTAATATACTGGGTGAGTAGATAACTTTCATAACTTGTACAAATGGAAATTATATTTTTTATTAATTTAAATGTTACTTTTTTAAAAATACTATATGGAACATCTTAGTTTATTATCAAAGTGACAAAAAACCCGAAAAGAAATAGGATATGACAGAAACGGAAAGCGATCGATTTTATGCTACGTGTAATAATCTAATTTGAACTTTATTTTTTCACAATTTTAATGGTTCGTTCTGGGATTTACCGTTTCTTGATTTTAAGCTATTTTATGTAGGACGATAATTGGTGATGCGTATTGTATTTGCTTAGGCGCGGTGGGTGGTCTAGCTCATCACCCTTTAGTGGGCGTGGCTGTAGGTGAGGGTAGTAGCGCAGCTGCTTTACGTCGAAGTCTAGTGGGTGCGGTGGCTAAGCCGCTCAGTGCCACCGCTGATCTGGTCGCGTACGCTGGACACGGATTACTCACGCAGGCCGGCTGGGAGGCGTTACCGCAGGTTTTATTTATTACACTAAAAGTTACCTAATAACAAGAAAGAAAGTGGTTTATTAATTCTACTTCAAAATCGAATTACTAATGTATGAAAAACCACGAATCTTTATTTATATTATATTTTAATTTTCTTTTCACGCGTAAATTATATAATGTCGATGCTACCCATATGTGAAAATATTTTTAAAATCGGTCTAGAAGTTTCGAAGCCTATTCGATGCAAACAATCAAATCTTTCCTCTTTATAATATTAGTACAGATAATCAATGCTTTACTTTTTGATATAATAAAAATATAAGATTAATTTAATTTATAATACCTATTAAAAATTCAATTTATTTATTTCTAATATAGTTAACATGAAATACATTCAAGTATTTATTTTCATGACCTGCCCTGCGATTCTGTAAAAATCCAGACCCGAATTCGATTTCACTCATGTGTCCGAATTCACGTCATTCAGTGTAAAAATTCTATTGACTCCATTTTTTTTTTGTATAAAAATACAAAACAAAATTGATTAAATACACGTGTCTCAGATATTCTATTCCTATATCATTTCGAAACTCACTTCACTTATGCTACGAAATGTTATTACCAATTCAAGGTTGAGCGTATGCCTCTTTTTGAAGTCAATTCGGACACCTGAGAGAATTCGAATTCGGGTTTGGAGTTTTACAGAATCGCAGGGCTGGTTATTACTAGCATAATAAAACTTATCCAAAAGGCGATTATTGAAAAATTTCGCTTTAATTGTAAATCGTCTGTGGTAAAGCCGCGGTCGTCGTGGTGGTCTGAGCGTTCGTGTAAATGCTCTGTGTCCTGCGCTGCTGGGTGGCGGCGTGACTGCGTACGATGGACCTTCCGATTGGCGGAGCTGACCGCTCTCGCTGGATACGAGGTCACTCTCAACAGGGTACAACTAGCCTTACTCATCACGCACAAGGTACGTTCTTATATACAATAGGGTTATGGTCAAATAATCAAAAGTTGCTAGAACATATATATATATTTAAATAATTTATTAATTTACTGAGATATAAACGTTAGAAATCTCGATACGACGAGGATAAATATGATAAATTGTGATAACAAAGTCTAGTAATCGTCGCACGACAGTCGACACGACAGAAATTGGCCAAACTCGAATTCCACCAAATTATCGCGTTAATACATGTTCAAATATATAATCAAAAGTTGTTAGAAAAAATATAAATTAATTAATATATGAATGTATATAAGATAAAGTAAATGTATAAGATCCAAATAAGTTGTAATCAAAAAAGATAAAACTTCAAGTAAGGGCACTGAAAAGGTTAAATCATGAATACATAAAGTTGGTCTAGAAAAAAAATATAAAGTTACCTCTAAGATGTATCACTTTATTTTAAGTTGTTAAGTTGTTTTTTTGCAGTTCCTAGTGGTAGCTGATTTAGAGACTGAACGAATAGTGGAGATGATAGACTTCAGAAACTGCACACTCGCACCATACAAGGGGCCGATCGTTGAGGTGAGAGTTTCTACTGAAATAATTTCGGGAGTAGTATTCTTTATTATTCTAATTTCTTTATTAATGACTTTGAATGTAACGATGAGATCGTTTTTGCCTCTTTTAAACCTTATTTAGTCTGTATTTATTTAATCTTTTAACACCATACATTTTGATTCATTACCAATTTTGCTATAAAAAATAAATCCGATATGCATTACCGAAACAGCATTTGTTGCATTCTCATACGGACACTACTGTTATTGTACGTCATTAGATCGACTACTTTGTATAATATGTACAAATGGAATCGTGAAATTAAATATCAAGTAATATATTCATAGTATTTAGGATTGTAATTTCAAAATCAACAATAATTGTAAACTATAAAGTACAATATAAACAATTGATCGAATAACCAATGTCAAATGGATTTGGAGTAATTCTATCGTAAACATTGTGATGGGTTCGATGCTTAGACAAATGAATAAAAGAGTGCCTAAGCTTGAAAACTTGATTTATTAGAGGGTTTAAAAAAACGCGTTTCAGGGTTTTCCGTTATAGGTAGATCTAGGGAGATCTTTCACGAAGATATACGTTTACATTTTTCTTATTTAAATTATAATGTCTTTATTATTATTAGATTTGTATGATTAAATTATCATGTCCTCGCCATATGAATTTTTTAACAACTGGCATTAATGAGGAGCATATTGGATTACTCAAAATTTCAAATTACGAAAGGTGAATAATAAAAAGAAATGACGTTGAAGATCAAAGACGAAAACTTTACGTGCGGATACCTAGGACGAAATAAAAGGTGGTACGGCGCACCGTTACAACATTAATGAAAATGCGAATTCACTTCAGCCCTTCTCAAATAATGCGCTCACCAATAACCACTCTATTTTTTTTATCTATTATTTGTAGCAATCGAATCGGAAATAGTTTTAGAAAAATGTCAAGTCCTCGAGTAAGGTGCTATGATGTAAGCAATGGCATAAATAATGTGAAACATAATATTGACTGTAGTGCACAGTTGATTCGACCTAATTAAAAAGGGTCATATATCAAGTGCTTCTTGAGTTGCTAGAATGTGATTTTGAATCATATTTATAATAGATTGTTGTATTATGGTTTTTTGTAAAGCTCAATTGACGGTTTAATATAAAATACGCTATTTATTTGGAGAATATAATTTAGAAGAAAAGAGCTAAAAAAGTTTTTTAGGCTCTATTGTCGGCGATAGTATAGCGCCTCATAAACTAGTATTTATAAGAGCTTATTATTAAAATGTGTTTTGCCTATAAATTCCAAGCTGCAATACTGTGACTGACCAACACTGGCATCTGGCAACACTATGGAAGCTATTATGACGTACATTAGTAAAGGTCGCGCTTCAGTCGTAATCATGATGTGCATCATCATAAAAACAAATCCATTAAAACTATTAACATGCCAAAACAATTTCATTGTCCACGAATAAATTGTCATCAATATCGATTTAATCTCCTAGTCAAAATGATAAATACTCTTACATGCGGGGTACAAGATAGAAACTTGTTATTTTTTCGATAGCGGTGGCCATTCTGTTGGCACTAACTATATGCGCCCAATCCGCAAATCTGTCTGAATTTTAGTCATGCGTCTCACGGAAGCATCCGTTGAAGTTTTCAGTCACACGTCTCACGGAAGCATCCGTCGAAGTTTATGTCAGTTTTGACGTTCCGTGTCTGATGACGCACGACGCATGAATGCATACAAATGTAGTTTAAGAAAATGGTATTAACAGATTTTTCCCAAATATAACATTTATAGTATTCAAAATGTATAATTCAAAATACTTTGTTACACTTTATATCATTTGATTAATGATGTCACGGAGAAATGGTAAAGTATCATATAATTTACTAGCCTTTTCTCGTGACTTCGGACCCGTAAAATATAGCCTATCTCACCCGCGTACGCTGTAGCTTCCCATAGGTGAAAGAATTCTCATGACGGGTCAGTCTTTTCTTTACCGAAAAGGTTACCCCCTACAAACAAACAAAGTTATTGACTAGAGAGATAGACTGGAGTAACAAAGTTGTAACATTGGTTTTATAAAATATTTATTTGATTGTACAGCTGTTTGTGACGCAGAGGCGAGTATCAAAGATCGCTCTGTCCCGTGCCATGGACGAAGACGAAGAGTACCAAGTAAGTCACATATACCATAAATTTAGGATTTTATGTTATTTGCAAAAAGTTTTCAATACATTTAATTTGTAAATTCAGATTTGCTTATCAACTTATAAACAGTATAAAACCAGCTTATTAATTTTGCTTTAAGGCCGATTAAACATAAGCAGTGCTATTAATAAACAAGGTTTAGCGTCAGAGTAAATTTACGCTTGAGCCAGAGCCTTGATTAGAAGATTTTAAGGTATATTTTTCACGCGTTATAAAAATTGTCACAACCTTAAAATTTTGGGAAATTTTAGTGCTTAGAGTTGACCTGAATAGGGATGATGACTAATTTTTGTTTGTTTGTCCGTCATAAAGTAAAGTGAAAGTCCGCCGTAGAGTGTTAAAAAATATTAAACACGTATTTTTTTATTTTTTTCGTAATTATAAAATTACGGCGTTACATGGAGTTAAAATTTCGCATGACGTCACGTTAGGGTACGTTTTCTACTCAACTATGACGTAGCGAGCCCCCACTCCTCAACTTTAATGCCTGTTATCTAAGCTATTTCTTGTTAAATTGAAGTAAAAAAAATACGTATCTAATATTTTTCTATTATCTGACTGACGGACTAAATAAAATTGCATTTTTTTTACCCAGTCATCATCCCTATTGTAAAATTTTATATCTAACAAAACCTATACCGTAATTACGTCATAATAATCAATGTTGGTAACCAAAATTTACGTATAATTTCTGAATGTCTCCAACTTCAGTCAAGAATATAAATTAGCAACGTTTTGGAGCGATTTTCCCTTATGAAGGTAATTATACGCTACAGTTTTGTGTCCGTGATGCCGTAAGAAGTTTGAAAATCTTCCAGTTCTTTGATAATATGTATTATACTAAAGCAAGATAATTATAAAACCTTCTGTTGATAACTATTTAATAATTACAATGACTTCACAAATTTTATTCAAATAAATTAACCCTACATCTTAAGAAAGTCAAAGCCAGTCACGTTTGAAAGCTCTTCATGGCTTTTATAATAGGGTATTATACTTCGATGGCATAAGTACTTTTTTATATTAGATAGGCAAGCACTTGACAACAGATCACCTGATGGTCAGCAACGCAGTGGTCTAAGATGGAGCGTGCTTGCCTAGAAGGAACCGATTAACTCTTGACTTGAAGAGTCCCAGATTGTATTTGCCCAGAAACAGCGAGTCCGGTACCGATAATGAAGTTGGTTGTACGATAATGAAAATGGGATGACGGAATTAAGTCGTGTTATTCCGATGCACACTCGCCGAAATGTAACCGATAGACCAGCGACTTTGCGGCGATGCTCAATTGTCGTTATCAATATCGAGCAAAAAGAAGAAAAACAAAATTGTTGTAGGTGGCAGACAGACAGACTGCGAAGTCTTAGTAATAGGCTTCCCGTTTTACCCTTTAGATACGGAACCCTAAAAATGAGAGAAAATATAGATAGATAGAAAAAAATTATTTGTACTATCGGCACACATTTGCACCAACCCTAAATCCATACTTCATTAATTATTGTGAAAATTCTGATAATACATATATAATTTTGAAAACGCCATTCCACGATAGATAGATTAATATTAAAATGTAATCAGTGATTATCGTTATATCTACTCTCATCACTAGTAAGAAATAGTTAAATTCACTAATTTATTTATCTTACTATAAGAAAACTAATGTATTTTACTCGATGAAAAATAATAAAATCTACAATTATAACATGTTAGAAGTTACCCTATAAAGTGTGCTGCAACTATACAAAATGATTACAGCTTAGTGATATTTTTGCTGAGGAAGGAAAACACTGGTTTTCGGCTACAACCAAAGAACCATGAAACGGTAACGAAACGGTATACGTGAATCTTTGTGCAGCGATTGCTTTTTGTTGTATTAAGGTGAGTGCAGCGGCGATGGCTCGCGTCGCCCGGTACACGGGGGCAGAGGGGTCGTCGATGGGGGCGAGTACGGCGTCGGCGGGCACGGAGCAACGCACGCTCGAGCTGCAGGCGGAGCCGGGGCGCGCGCTAGCGTTACACGCGACACTATCCTCCGCCATCAGGAACAACTGCGATACACACTTCCCGTTGCTATGACGGTAATGTATATTCGACAAGCACAATGGTTTATAACTGTTAAATTTCTATAATAGGCGATCGGCCAGCAATTAGATAAAAAAATGTGTGTAAATATCGTAAAATTATATTTCCGTTTTGGTGTCATTTATGGGTAAATTGGTAGTGAAACTACCTAGAAATCTAGAAAAAGCGCGAGAAACATTCAAAGTGCAAACTAATTTTAATGATTTACTCGATTTTTAACAGGTTACAAGGGTCCGTTATCTGTTTTATAGAGTTAGCTAGTTATATTTTTTCACTAATAATATCTTGTTTTTACCCCAGAAATACGTCATACCCCACATATATTCCGAGTTGCTGTTTACAAGGTTTTTTTGAACAGTTTAAATTTTAAACATAGTTTTTGATACATAATGAGGTAAATTTATATAAAATATTGTTTTGTATGGGAATGAGCACCCATACTGATTAATTTAAAACAGTTTTTTAGAAAGTTGTCCGATCCCCCATTGATTTCAATTTTAATCACTGGGAAATAAAAAGTTTATTGCTAAGTTTTTAACTTTATTGCGGTATTATATAGTAAGATACAACTAATACGGTTCTTATAACAACTCATTAGAGTGCACGAAATTTGTTGCCGTTCTTAACGAGCAGGGAAAAATAGGGACCAATGTGAATGATAGTTATTTCATGCAGATAAACTAAATATAATAATATATATATATATCGATTGGTCCCTATTTTTCCCTTCCTTCATCTGATAATGGTGTTAGAAATATAAATTTCACGAATATTTCGGGCTAAAACTGAAAATCAGTGCTTAGCTCAATGAGTAAATATCCGTCGAGTTTTCGCCCATTTCCATCTCCGTCCGTTGAGTTAACTTGTGTTGTGCCTTACTGCTATTTTTTAATTACCTTTATCTTTTTTTATATACATACTGTACTGATTTTTTTAATTTAAAATATACATGTGCGCAATATGATACAAATAAAGAATTTATCTGTCTATCTATTCAAGAAACGCGACATCGGGTGATATGGTTTATTGTAAGACGACTTTAAATCTTAATTGTGCATTCGTTAGTTGTCGGAATTGGTAAGTCTGTTCTGCACAAGCAAATATTCACCATTATTAGTTGGATTTTACTGTATACTCAACTCATATATATCCAATCTACAGCATGTCAGGTTATGACCTTATGCTTTGGTCTTTTGTTATAACCTGACATGCTGTATGCTGAAAACCGCATTCGTGTCTGATGAAGAAGTGTAACTTTGTTTTTGCTCCTGTCCATCTAAAATAAGTAGAAACTGTTCTTAGATCTTAATAATAAAACTTTTTATAAACTAAAATGTTTGAACACGTTCCATATCTTTTCATTCTAGCTGATCCGTTCGTGACGAGACATACAGGATTACATCGTTGCCGATGTCGAAATACAGAATCACAATAATTTAGATCGGGTTTAAAGCAATATATTTTTCATCGAGTAAAATACATTAGTTTTCTTATAGTAAGATAAATAAATTAGTGAATTTAACTATTTCTTACTAGTGATGAGAGTAGATATAACGATAACCACTGATTACATTTTAATATTAATCTATCTATCGTGGAATGGCGTTTTCAAAATTATATATGTATTATCAGAATTTTCACAATAATTAATGAAGTATGGATTTAGGGTTGGTGCAAATGTGACGGAAGATGTGTCGCGGAAAGTCAGAACTGACAAAATATGATTTGACCTTAAAAACCTTGCACATTCACTACCATATACCTACGCATACTTCCGTAAGATGCTTGAGAGATCTTCCGTCAAATTTGCGCAACCTCTTATCTTGATTACCCAATCTTTCAAATTAATCTTTTAAAACGTCATTCCCTGATGATGATATTTTATAGTGTTCAACTTGAATATTACATCGTTTTCGATGCGATTAGTTCAATATTAATTATGAAGTTCCATATGATAGGTATAGTTTAATGTACCGCCGCAAAATAACGCCAAAATTGTGTAATATATTAGGTAAATCAGTAGATTTTTGCGTTAAGTAAATCGATGTGTTACTTTAAAAACGTGATAAAAATATTTAAGTAATATTCAATAAGAGAGAATACGCATTTGGTTTTAAAAAATAATTTCTTAACATGTTAGTCTAATCGCTAGATTGAACTGCAAATATAATTCAAAATAAAGTTAACATCACACCTTTTTGTATATTGTTAGATGTATATAAATGTTTACATTTATTTATTATTGTTTATTTACAAAATTTATTTTGAATTCGTTAAGATATTAACGATTGACGAAAAACGAACTTTTATATTTAATCTGTGTCGGTAATTACAAGAATGGCTTTTTGTTGATATATAATTTTTATTGTTTATCAATAAAAGTTAGGTTGAAATTTGATTCGATTTTATTTTAATTGATCTCTTCAAATGTTATTTTATACAAAGAAAAAAAAGTCTTTAAAACTTCACAATGTATTATTATTAAGACCTCTAGTGTCGAAAATTATGAATTATTTGATTTATGCAGCATATTTTATAGACATTCCGAATATTATAAGCTACTTAAAAATTGGAGACTGCGAAATTGTTTTTGTAATCTATTATAATTATTGTTAGTTATTTTCGCTAGGTGACATTGATTGTAATTTTGAGGTAAAGACGTTTAGTTGAAAAATCACTGATTGATTAAAGTTCTCAATAGATGGCGCTATTGTTCTAATTTGATATTTGAATTTTTACGCTAATCAATCCGAAGGGATCGCAAAAAGAAGTTTTTTTTTGTATGAAACTGGTGTATGACATTCTGCACATAAACCAATACACACTGAATTGTCAGAGTTCTAGTTTCAACTGTTCATTAATTTGTCTGGTGTAAAGAAAATGCTTGATTAATAAGCTTGGCACAACTAACCTAATAAGTGGATGAACCTTTTTCGATCTACATTTAAAGAAGAAAAAGTCTTCAATTCGGAGCACTAGCGGCACGAATTAAACTAAGATCTTTTACCTTAACAGATATTTTGTTATTTGCTAAACGGTTTGAAACAACAGGAGTTACAGTGCATGTTGTGTAAATTCTATTATTACTATCTCTTTCTTTCCATTTCGTGATAGGAAGGTACAGGTGTGCCAAATAAGCAAAGATTAAAGAGGACACAATAATTTGTAAACACAATATAATGATTTCTATTTTTTTTTTCGAAATAATCTATGTTTTAATTAATAGACTGGTTAATTTTCGAAAGTGTTCTTTATAAATGATACACATTATCTGCATACAATTTTAAGGTCAAAAAAACATGAAGTTAAATGTTACGTTTTTAAACAGGACCAATCTCGTTTATTTAGTAAATGTAAATACCCTGAATAGCACCATCTAGTGGTATATACAGTATGCAACGATATATTCATCGATTGTTTATAGTCAATTTGCAACATAAAAATTATTTACAATGCAATTAACTTATACTCTACAATTCCAAATCTTGGCCAAAGATTTTGTATTTATGAAAGTCACAAATTATCGATGAAGATAATATTTTGACCTACACTAAAACGATTCCATAATAATTTGATGATGGAATTTTTTTAATGTCCACAAATTTATTAAAAATAGAATACAAAAGTAAACTAGTATTGGTTTCGTCATGCTCAGAGTATTTTGATAAATGGCTTTGAGTTGATTTTGAATCTGGATTTTGTTATGTAAGAAAACTATTTTGTGATCAATCATAAAAATACGTATTTGACAAAATTATAGTTTATTATTTTATTTTCGTGCCAATATGATGCCTTGTTAAAAATATATTATTTTACGCCTGAGGATAACTGAGGATACCTGTATAAAATTCGTAGGCAAATAAAATGCGTAGTATTATTCCTTGTGAGACTGGCGATATTGTAATTATTTGTTTTGAATAAATTATGTTTTTAATAACTATGTAGTTTAATTTTTTATATGACCTACCTACTATGTTGTAATATCACATCAACAATGTAATGTTTTAGAATAAACATGATAATTCGAAAGAGGCGAGACCGTCACTCCCTTTGTCTCTAATTAGGCGGTAGGTATATTGCCCGGCACATTTATCAGGGTTTCTCAAAAACACCGATTTTATTAAGTGGCGTGGACGTATGCACACACGAACATGTTTACATACGTTATATTAATTTCCTACGATATTTTTCAAATTTTTTACCATCTTAATTTGAAAGTGATTCGACTTTTTGAACGATTTCTTAATATCGACAAAAGTATTTTAAAATATATATGCCCCTTGATTCCAAAACGAATAACACACCCTTACGACACTATGATTGCATTTTGGCATTAACATCCTAATGTGTATGTCAAAATGTGTTTTTTGTTTTGTTTTCGATTTAAGTGACGTATAACGAACCTAATATAGAAATACAAAATTAATATAGATATTTTTCATCATGATATTAACGTATCAGACTGCGCCAAACAATCTGCAAACATTTAAAGATAGTGAGAGATCGTAAAGAAAGCTGTATTCGCCATTATACTGACATAGACATCTCAACATAGCCAAGAGCGAAGTGACAGAAAAGAAACTGTTTATTGGCAAAAAATAATTAACACTATAGTGTGCGCGGAAGTGCTAGTCACCGTCTGAGGTATGTGAGCGGCAGGACGGGGGAGGTAAATGAACGTCAAGCTGACTCCAGTCTGCCGGCGACGGCTGTGACGGTTACACGATTGAGTTGTATGTGCCACTTTGTTCAAAACATACATAAGATGAAATATCCTAAGATGGGTCCGCCAAACAACGACAAGTGAAAAATTTTATTCACAATGTCCACAGTTTTTTTCTCAGACGAAAGGTTGACAAGGAAAGTATAGATCACAAATATGATATGAACATTAATAAATTAGTAGCAGAGGCTACAAGTGTCAGCTCGCAGCGTAATCAGAATTGTAGTTGAAGGAAATTCGAATCTGCAAACATCGGAATAACCTGAAATTTTCGGATCCACGGAAACCTAAACAAATAAAAAAGAGTATCCATATTGATGATTTTGACATGGGTGTAATACGAAGAAAAGTTCATCAGTTTTATACTGTTGGTAAAAAATCCCAAGTATTCGTAAGCTGCTTGCAGTTTTAAAAGAAGACGGTATCGTAAACTAGGATAGCACCTCTTTAAGACAATTTTTACACAAAATGGGATATTTTTTTAAGAAATGTAAATCTAAGAGACATATTTTGATTGAGAGACCCCGTATAGCTGAATGGCGAGTAAGGTATTTAAGTGCTATACGGAAGTATAGAAATGAAAACCGAATCATATATTTTCTAGACGAAACCTACATTAACAGTAGCCACAACTCCAAAATGAGTTGGCAATCCGGATCTGAGCCTGGTATTTATGATGATATTTTCAAAGGGTGGCAGACGAGACGGATTAGTTAACGGTGCTTTAACTATTTCCAAATCAAATTCGAAAAGCGGGGACTACCATGGGGATATGAATGCCATAAAATTTCATAACTAGGTTAATCACAAATTGAAAAATAAATTAGCTCCTAATTCAGTGGTCGTGATCGTCACGGGGTCGTGAATGCCTCCTACCTACAATGTCAAGTTTAAAGAAAGTCATGCAAGATTGGTTACACGAACATAATGTTGACTTTACATCAAAAAATACTAAACCCGAACTACTATTTCTGATAAAAAGACTCAATCCGAAAAAATTTACGCATTTCGTTCTTCGCCTTCCGCTGTGTCATCCCGATCTCAACCCCATTAAGATAGTCTCGGCCGATACAAAGAACAATTTAACTTCAAATTATATAAATTCATCAGTGGACGACAAAATTACAATCATCGCAAGATTGTTTTCTGAATTCGCTCCGCAAAATGAGGCAGATTCTGAGGAGGACATGGAAATTGAAGACATGTCTAGTAATGAAGAAGAAGATATCTATTAATTTTGTACTATAATGGTGATAATTAAAATATTTTATTTGGTTGGCTTATTAAAAAATGGTAATTTGCTTATGAAACTGTATCGTAAATTATAAAATTTAATGAACACTTTCAAATATTAATTTATTTTTGGTTAACACGAAATAGAGTAATATTACAGTATAAATATCGCCATTATATTGATTAAGATAGATTCTAACATGTTATCCTGAGTTTTACATATCCTTAAATACCTCATGTGCGTCTTGTCAATCGCGCCCTCCCCCATCTCAGCGCCCGCATACCTCAGGCAGTGACTAGCACTTCCGCGCACACTATAGTACCATATCTTAATGGCCAAAACTAATTAATCTGTAACTGTAATATTTAAGATTATTTAGCTCTTTATTCGCTCACCTTATACATAAGACGTAGATTTATGCAATACTAAACTCTGGCTTTCCAAGCTATTATGATATGATTGGCGCAAGGAGATTACAAAGGAGCAACGCGTTAATTCGGACCAAGGTGAGATCGAATATAGGACACCGACAGGAAGGCACCGATTTGCCAGCCAAAGTATGAACATTCCATTACATAATATAATCGAAGCGCAGGTGGCTAGCGCGTCGGTCGGTCTGTGTTGTGATGATTTGCAAAGAGGGGTAACTGGATAAGGGGCCGAAATTTAGTGCATAGATGTCTTTATAAAAAAAAACTCGCCAGCTTCTATGTGCTATCATTTTTTTGGTACTATTTCTGGGTTTCTGGGGTGCGACCGCCTAAGTAGCCATGATTCTAGTGACATCTTTTTTTATTTATTTTTTATTAATTTTATGTCAATAGGTATTACGTTTCATTTTACTACTTTGACTTATGTAATGCTTTAGTAACGACGATTATGAATTTGATAGCATTATAACCAATTTAGTCTCAAAATCCATTAAGCGTCATATCATAGTATCTAATAATATGAAACGAAATATCGTCACTTTTTAGATCGTCTATTTTTAGAATCAAAACTAAAGAGTAAGACGGTCTCTGCTGGTGTCCACGAACACGTGATGCACTTTTTAGAGTTCCGTAGTAACAAGCAACCTTTATAGTTCTGCCATGTTCGTCTGTCCATTCATCCGTCCGAGGTATAGCTCAAAAACTATTGGTACTAAAAAGTTGTAATTTGCCATAACTATACAGTTAATGACACCGACAAAGTGTTAAAGCAATATTTCGAAAAAAAAATAATATAGGCGAGGTCCCTGTATGTAAAATATCTCATATCGATTAGTGTTTAAATTCTCTTTGCCCAAAAGTGTCGTCCGACAAGAAGAGGTTTCTTTTTAATATTCATTGCAAATTGGTCTTTCCTTATTTCAATACACCGCACAGCATAATATTCTTTCGATGTTTTCCTGCCATGTTACATATTCTGGTCAAACCTGTTTCCACTATGGACAGTGAAATTTTATTTAATCTAATATGTATTTATAAATATATTAACTGCAACGTACCGGAATACTTAACTACTTCACAAAGTATAAAATATTTTTAACTTTTTATCCTCAAAAAATTGCAATCATTACATGTAATTAAGAGTTTAAACTAGTTCACATCGAGGAGTTTAAACTAATTTCGGTGACCGATAAGCTGATCGTTATCCTAGTTAAATGTTTTCGGTCTTCTATTGGTTTCAAAGGTCTTTATCCAAAAATAAAAATGAAACTGAGCGTTAGAACTGCAACCCCTGAACCAACAGATATATATAAAGTTTAGAAAATACAAAAATATAATACCTTTTCACTAATATTTAATGTTCCACACTAGGAAAAATGCTAAT